TTTTTTCGTTTTTTTTTCTGAACAGCGAAACACAACTGCCTGTTTGTGTGGAGCAACATTTCCATAGTGTTTGTCTATAGGTCACACTTGAAAGTGGACATTAAAGAAACTAAATTTAAGAGTTTAAGAGTGCTCGGCAGAAAGCAGACAGAGTACAAAGAGACAGAGAACAAATATAATTTAAAAACATTTACATTTGACCCCTACAGTGTGACCTTATATGTCCCCCTAAACTTAGGGTCACTGGAAGTTAGTGCAAAATTAGTGTGAATGACTTAATAGTCCAAACACCAAATGTTCTGACTATGAACGGGTTTTAATTTAATTAAGCAAGCACTGGCTCAACAGCTTTGTTAAATGATTTTTATTTGGATTTCTTTAAGTTAGTCATCATCATGCGATTGTTGTTCCAGTGCCAGTCTTCATCATTAAAACTTGACTTTGGTGGTTACCACTGTTGCCTCACAGTAAGAAGGTCCTTGGTTCAAATCAACTGGCTGAGGTCTTTCTGTGTACTTGTGTCAGTTCTCTCTGAATGCGCTAGCTTCCTGTCAGAGTTAACTGGCACGTCTAAATTAGCTGTAGGTCTGAATGGTTGTCTGTCTCTTTGTCCTGCAAAAGTCTGGTGACCTGTCCAAGGTGTAGCACATCTCTCGCCCTAGCTGGGAGAACCTCTAGAAAATGGGTGCATGGATGAGTTTTCCTTACTAAGTTGTTTAGGCATGTGGTGGCATTGCATTTGAAACCCAATGTATGGGTTTATAGCTCAGTGGGATGACCAGGCGACCATAACCCCATATGGCCGGAGAACAGTAGGCCCGGGTTTGAGTCTGACCCGCGGCCCTTTGCTGTCTTCCCCTCTCTCTCCCTGCTTTCTTGTCTCTCTACACACTCTCTATCGAATAAAAGCTTACATGAAGGTTGATATTTTTACTTAAAAGTATTAGTTTATCTTATGTTACTGGTGTAATTATTGAAAAGAAAATGAAACAGTGATCATTAAAAAACACCTTATTTAAATTCCAGAAGGGGGGGTTTTAGTCTTTCTATAAATCTTTGGATTGTTCCTGTTTTACACTTCTTTTATTATCACAAAGTGCATCTCATATATATTTGAAAGCATGTGCGCATTAAACAAAAATGCCATACCTAAGTGAAAATTGCAGACTATTATCTCACAATTTTCAGATAATAACCTGAAATTTTCATTTAGTTCTGCCCGTTTGTTTTTTCTTTGGGAACATGTTTCCATACATACCAATGAAATTAAAAATGCCAATTAAAAATGTTAAAATTAGGGAAAACAAAACTGTAAATATGACCGCAGCATAGATTGTCTGAAGCTTTTGTTCATAAATGGAGACATTTATGAAATGTTAGAGCTGCCTGAATATATTTGGTCACAATTATGGAAAACTATGTGAAATAAATATTTTTCAGATCACATTCTGAGACATCAGCATCATGTTCCATGGGATACCAGTCACTGGAGGAGTTGGAGGAGGAGGTAAGACATTCAGATAAATCAGTGTATAAAACTGAATTGTTAAATTTGTATAAGAGTCATCTTTTCAACAGAAAACAGCAGTAATATTTCTTGACACTGTTTTCCTTTCCACAGCTCCGGCAAATAAACCTGAGCTATATGAGGTAAATCCAACAACGTAATTCTGATTAGTTTACTAAAATAAAGAGGACTTTATTTGTTCTTTTTTTTTAAAATAGCATTTAATGCCCATGTGTAAATCATCCGTAAATCTAAACTAAAGCTGGGAATGTTATCAAGAATATGTAATATCCTTGCTGTTAAGGATAACAATCATGAATGCTGTCGTTTCAGGAGGTGAAATTATACAAAAATGCAAGAGAACGAGAAAAGTAAGTGCTTGATATGTCACCAGTGACCATTATCACTTTATAAACTACAGATTTACTGTGTTACACATGTTATAACGATCCTGTTTCTGTAGGTATGACAATATGGCGGAGTTGTTTGCTGTCGTCAAAACACTACAGGCCCTGGAGAAGGCTTACATTAAAGACTGCGTAACGCCTAATGAGTGAGTAACAGTTGAGATCATATTTAAAATATGGCACCTGTAACTTTAGCTGTGTGTTTTTTAATTAATGTGGAGTTTATGTTGGTTTCAGGTACACTGCCTCCTGTTCCAGACTCTTGGTTCAGTATAAGGCTGCTTTCAAACAGGTGCAGGGCTCTGACGTGGGCTCCATCGATGACTTCTGCAGGAAATACAGAGTGAGTGCTCGTCTGCAGTGCAGAGTGTCTGTCATATTTTTCGAGATTTTATTTTTGTAATTTCTTGTTGTTGTCATATGTTTTCCTAGCTCGACTGTCCACTAGCGATGGAACGGATTAAAGAGGATCGGCCAATCACCATCAAGGATGACAAGGGCAACCTGAACCGCTGCATCGCAGATATAGTTTCAGTATGTCCTCACGACTACATTAAATATGTTAAAGAGAGAGGTATTTAGGCTGCTGGCAAGAACATTTTTTAGGATTTATTGAGCTCAGTTTGGCTCAACATTTGGTAATTCCATAAAAATCAGAGTGGATATCACAAGCTTATGTTTTACCAACTGCAGGCTCAGCTCATAAAACAGACAAACTAATAAAGTCAATGCGCTCGTTCCTAGAACTGTTTGTCCTGAAACATATTTCTCACTGCCGACTCTTAAAACTAGGAAAATATTTTGTCTCATCCTTCTCAAACATTTAGCTCTTCATCACTGTGATGGACAAACTGAGACTGGAGATCAGGGCCATGGATGAGGTAAATTTATAAATGTAAATAATATGTTATTAATAAACAATGACTGGACTTCCAAGATACTGATTGATTGTTTGTTTTTTAATTTGTTCAGATCCAACCAGACCTTAGGGAGCTGATGGAGACTATGAACAGAATGAGTAACATGCCTCCAGACTCAGAGGCCAAGGACAAAGTCAGTCTCTGGTTAGTAACACTAGGCCGCAACGTTTGTGCTCTTTATGTCGTTGATCTCTATGTGCAGCACACCTTGAGGCAAAACATGACCAGTCAGGAAACCTGCAGCCACACCACACAGCACCTATCCAGTTCCAGAATTGCTGATACAAGGCAGGGTGAATCTATACTGTCATGTTGTTTATGTCAAACTCTGACCCTACCATCTAAATGTTGGAGCAGAAATCAAGCACCATTTTTCCAATCTTCCATTGTCCAATTTTGATCTGCATGTGTGAATTTTAGCCTCAATTTCCTGTTCTTAGCTGACAGGAGTGACACCTGGTGTGGTCTTCTGCTGCTGTAGCTCATGTGTTTCCCTGCAAATGAAATTCCCACCAGTCGTGCTATGGTCACAGTCATTTAAATTTCTTCTCTGTGCTGTTGCTCAGTTCTCTTCAGTTCAGCAAATTGTTTTGACCGTGTTTACAGACCTAAATTCATGAAGTTGCTGCCATGTGATTTTCTGATTTGATTTTAATAGTTAACTAGTTGAACAGATATAATTGAAGTGGCAGGTCAGTAAGTGTAATCCAAAACTATCATTCATGGCTCAGACACACAAGTACTGCGTGGCTACTCTGTAGTTACTAGGATACTATAAGTTAAGGGGGAGCTGTGCAGTTCAGTGATGAAGGAAAAGAGAGGGGTTGAAGAAAAGTGTGAAATCGTAGGACTTCTTGCTAAATTGTGAAAATCTAACTTAATCCTCCTCCTCCTATTGGCTATTGGGGTAAATATTCACGGGTTTCCCATGTGTCCGTATTCATGCAAGGTAAAACTTTGTTTTGCATCTGGTGCGACCGTACCATTATCCATGCAACTAGCTGAGCAGTGGCTATAAAGTACCTGATCTTTGATGTGTTTATGATCATATAGTTCTCTTAACTGACATTTTTCCAACAGGCTGACCACCCTGAGCAGCATGTCAGCCTCGGATGAGTTGGATGATAATCAGGTTCGCCAGATGCTCTTCGACCTGGAGTCGGCCTACAACGCCTTCAACCGCTTCCTCCACTCCTCTTAAAGCGCCTCTCTGTCACGGATAAATGTGGAATCCTGACTCTAAAACCTGTTAATTTAAAAGAAGAAGAATGCTGCTTTCTGTGGATTTACGTCCCTTCCTCCTTCTGTTCTTCTTGCTGTACAATTGGTCTCTGTGTTCTTTAATCGGGATGTGTACAGGCCACTCTGCTGTCATCTCAGCCTCGTCAGCTCGGCTCGCTTTGTTCTGTGAACTGTTATCCCCCCTTTTTTCTATCCAGATTTGTGTGATAAATGCATTAACAGTGGCTGAACTTCATACTGTAACATCGAGAAGCCTATTTTATACCCAGGGTTTGCAGCAAACCAATAAACAAACATGATACAGGTGTTTTTGGAAAGATCTACATAACAGCAGATTTCTTTTCTTTTCATACCCTAATTGTATTTCTGACTTTCACATAATTTACTACATTTGTTTTCTACTAACAGGTTTTTGCTGTAGTATCGTATATAATTGTAATTACATAATTATTTGGGCTTTAAGATGATTAGTTTGCAGTTCAAAGGAATCATATTGAAACTAAGGTGAAAGAAAATAGTTCTGATTTTGATTTTTCTGTTGCTGTCTCTTCTCATGTCTTATCCATTATTTTCTTTTAAGTAAAGGGTTCATCAAGTGGGCAAAAAAGGGAGCTCACTGCCTCCCTTTTGTTGTTTACCAAATATGTTTCAGCTCCCAAACACCATTAGGGAGAACATATTTATTGCAATGTATCGTTGTAAATAATAGGTTTGATTTTTAAATAAAAGCATGTAACATCTTTTTAGGAATAAATTTTAAAAGGAAAGAAAAAAATCTACATCTAGCTTCTTTTGTGCTGTGTCCGTGTCAGATATGTGATTTATTAATCATTTTTCAATCTTTTAAAAAACAGAATATCTTCCAAAACATTTCAGGCTTGAAAACAAAAAGGAAGCACGGACCGATTCCAAACAAGTCGAGGGGAGTTTGCTCATACGTGTTTTAATGAATAAAAGACTGCAGATGCGCCCTACTGAAAGCATTCATGACAGCTGGAGCTGCTCGTGGTCTTGTGAAGTTTGGCCTTGTTGACGAGGACCACGACGGTGTCATGGGCAGGCTGGAATGTCTGAAGTAGGCTCTGACACTTCTTCTCCACCCCTAGGATGTGAACGTTTTTGGACAGTTTCTCCTCGACAATCATCAGGTGCTTGTGTTGGAGCTCCAGGTTCTGACTGTAAAGGATGGCATCAGAAATGAGCAACCTCGGGGTATTATGGAAGAAAATGGTGTCGTCATGATCAGTGTGAGGCTTTTGGGAATGGGCTGACTCACTGAGAGAGCTTCAGCGCCGAGCGAAGTCCAGCTCCTATTTTTACCAGGTCGTAATTCTCCAGCGTGAGGCTGATGTGCGGCTGAAGGAGGAGCAGGAGAGAGAGAGAAAAAGAGGGTTAAAGTTAAAATGTTTCACAGGACAGTGGAGACTGACAACAGTCATGCTTTATATGGCACTCACCAAGTCCCGGCAGAGCTCGTATCCAGGTCTCTGGTTGAGGATGTCCAGGCGGTGGGAAGCATGATCCAGTTTGGTGTCACAGCTCCTGATCTCACACTTCAATTTCTGTATTTCTTTGGTCTGATCAGAAATGTCATCACTGATCTGAAGGTTAAAGGAAGTCACAGAATGATGAGCAGCAAAGAAAAAAATGTTGATTCGTGGTGATTAAACTCCAGTGCACTGACCTGCTTTCTCTTCAAGAGCAGCATTTCCTGGTTTCTGGTCAGTTCGTGGATTTTCTTCCTCAGAGCGTCGTCTGTCCTGCGGTGCTGACGCTTGTGGGCGTTTTTTATCTATAAAATTTAAATTGTCATCATAGAAGAAATGGCAAACACGCAATCAGCCTTGGATCTGAGGGTTTTCTTACATTGGCCAGAGAGAACTTCAGGTTTCCCCTGAAGGAAGAAGAGTCCTTCATCAGGATGTTGGCCGCCGTCTTCAGGTCTTTGCAGTGAGACAGCCATGTGTCATAGCCCACATGGTGAGGCTTGTACTGACCGGCAGGCAGACAGGAGCTCGGCGTGTTGAGCTCAAGGGTCATGCATTTCATAGTAAACTTGGTGGCTTCACCTTTGTCGTGTAAATCTGCTCCCAGCTCACTGTGGATCTTCTTCAGAGAACTGGAGGGAGGTTAAGATTTTTCCGTTATTTTCTCCACTTGCCTCTATTTTAAAGTTCTTTAAAGGATATGAAAACAAAAATAACCAGAATAGTCACACCGTGATTGTAATTCTGTGCATCAGACCTTATTTTGCTGAGCAGGATGCAGACCTGCGCCTGCAGAATTTCTCCGCTGTCTTTCGTCAGCCTCTCTTCTTTCCTCAGCTCAGCGTAAACGGGGTCTTGGCTCAGGACCGCTGGGCTCAGGGTGTTTACGACTGAAATACAGTCGCTCATCAGCTGAAGGCACAACTGCATCTCTTGGAGAAAGCTGTCAACGATGTCTTTCAGCTGATCACAGGAGAGCCAAATGGTCAAGTCCATGACAATGAGGATACAGTCACAAGTTTTTCATTCTTGATTCACCACATGTATACATGCCTTCTCCAGAGCAGTGACTTCTCTTTCCAGCTGGCCCATAATCTCAGAAAACTGGGCCTGCCACTGACTGACTTCCCTGTGCCGAGAGCTGAGATACCTCATGGTGTTGCGAGTGGCAGAAGGCATCTGCAATGACAAGGAAAGAGGAAGGTGCGCCAGGTATGCTTACAAACCACGCAAACACTTCCCACTTCAAGACTGTCTCTGAGCGTACAGAGAGCAAGTAAAAATATGGAATATTAAACTGTATAAAGGATCATTACCCAAGAAATATCTTCACCCATGTTGTAGACTATTTCATCTTCAAGCCGCTTGGTCTCCTTAGACTTTGGCCTGTTGCTGCTCACCAGGATTTTATTGCTGGACAGGACAGGCATACTGAATCTGACATTCAAACATGGCTGGTTGTCCTTTAGCACACACTCCGCCCTAACAGTGTGACAAAACATTGAGATGAAGCAGTGAAAATGTTTACTTCTAAAACTGTGGCCATTTGTCTGTATCCTGAGCAGCTTTTCTTAGAGATTCCATGAAACCAACTGAAAGACACGACTCACCACATGTTTTGTTACTTTGGATGAATCCTGCGAGAGGAGACGAGACGGTACCGAGTGAACACGGTTCGGTTTCGATGAACTGGATCTCAAAGTCACAAATCAACAACGAGTTGTGTTTCAGAAGCTCAGTTCAGTCCCTGTGAACTTCCTCACCTGGGATCACGGTAACAAGCAACTCATTTGGAAACATGGCACATGGAACCATGATGCAGTCTCCATGGAGACCCCAGCATTTTTTGAGCAATTACATACATGACTTTCATTATATACAACCATAATAACCAACCACATAATCCCACAGTTTGACTTCTACAAAAGGTCCAGTCATGTATAACTTGCACTTCATAGCTGCTTTGGGGCTTTTTCATAATTGCAATAAACAGACAGATATCACATACAAAGCCATCAGGATGCCAAATAATGTGCTCATAATCTTAAATAGTCACATACTGAAATAATAATATAATAAAACCACCACAGTGATAAACATCTTAGAGACACACTCACCTTCTGGCTTACTAGTAAATAAGTGACCGACTTAAGTGATATGAAAAAAATAAACATTTAAAAAATAAAGAAAAATTATCCTAAGTTCAAACCTGAAGGTCTCCTCTCTGCATTATTTCTGCTCATCGTCATAGAATCAGATTCCTATCCTTGTATTCTGTCTCTGAGGCCAACTGCAGCTTATTTTTGAATGCTTAACCACAAACTGACTCTGTAGGTAGTAATTAAAAAAAAATTACCACTGGGAAACAGGGCATCAATTTACAAGTGGTGAAGAAAAGGTGTTTCCCCCTTCGTGATTGTCACGCTTCCTTAATCAAATTGTAATATTAGACAAAGATAACCTGAGTGAAAAAAGCAGTTTTTAAATGATTATTTCATTTATAAAGGTAAAAAACAGTTATCCAGCTTACATGGTCCTGTACAAACTGAATGAATTAAGTGTGAAAACTTTGCTTTGCTGATTCAAGAAACCACTTAAACTATCATTACACAGTGCTTTGTATCCTACCACACTATCTGATGTCGATATAGAATTAGTGCATGAAAGGCAGTGAAATGTACCCACTTTTTTTTATCCCCACCAAAATGTTTCATTTCTTCTTCTGTGCTTTTGATTAGTGTTAGAGCGTCATGAGCAGGGAAAAAAAAGTTTTCCCCTTTACTAATTTTTTTTTGAAAACATACATCAACACTTCACACATTTAGATACTGGTTTATTATGTGCATTTATTGTTCCTTTTTCAAACATATTTTCATGTGCAGCATTTACACAAACATTTTAAGTGTTTGAGAATCTTTTGGCCCGTTGTGTTTTAAAGATAGTGCCTCAGCAGTGAGAAAGAAATCTGTATTCACAATCTTAAAAGGAAACTGTGTCAACATATTTCAGCACCAGTGAAGCTGAAGTGCAGCTTTATTACTTTTATCCCATGAGGGGTCCCTAATATAATGTCCCAAGAGTCTAGGTGTTGTTTCTCAGTATACGCTGTTGTGTGGGAAGCGTGAAGCAAAATGCAGTTTTTAAATTATATAAAATAATGGGACAAAAGCAGAGATGGATTATTTTTCTAATTTTATTGATGGTAATTACCCATGGTTTAAATTTTATCACTCATCCAGTAATAATCATGGCTTTAAAATTAAACTGACTTCCTCATCACCCAAAGTCACCCTTGTCCATTTAAACACGCAATAGAAAAATATATACTTAATACTTTGTACAATACTGGTTTTGGTCCAAACAAAAGTGGATCAGAAAAGCCAATATACCTTTAGTCACCAAAGGCTCTCCAATTTGCATTTAAGCTCCTTTTAAATGGATTCGGGTAACTTTGAATATGGGAACTGACATAATAAATTCTAAAGACAAAAATGCTGAATGCGGAGTTTGTAACACAAAAAATTCAACTTCACAGATTAAAAAAAAATATCACTATTTACAGGTTTTTATAACAATATTCAAAGGCCAATTAAGAGAGAGAGTGAGAGAGAGAGAGAGAGAGAGAGAGAGAGAGAGAGAGAGAGAGAGAGAGAGAGAGAGAGAGAGAGAGAGAGAGAGAGAGAGAGCGGAAGAGCGAGAGAGCGAGAAGATGGGAGAGGCAGAGAGAGATAAAGGGAGAGTAAAAGGAAATCAGGAGGAGGGAGGGAACCAGAGAGAGACAAGGGGCCACAAGAAGCAGAATTGAGGAGCGAACCAGAGAGAAATTAAACATGTAACAAGAGTTTTGAAATTACGCATTTACAAAGTCCTAAAGGAGGTGAACGAGGGCGTAAGCCTCCTGCCTGGTCCATCCTCCGCAGTGCATGGATGCGTTTTCCCCTCTCCCACACCCCGCCCCTCCTTCCGTCCTCCCCTGGTTTTTGTTTTAAACATTCATTTGCTTGTTCACCTGTGGCAGTGCTAGCTAGCAACCCAGGTGAAAAAAAAAGAAGAATTAAACAAAACTCTGTCGTTCAGCTGTCATACACACACCGCCACACAACCTCATCATGTACAAAGAAACCAAACACACCTCAAGTCTGTACATAAGAGGGGAGAAAACAAGCACTCTGCATTCGTCACAAACATTAAACGGTCATCCCTGTACATACAGCACGCTGCGCCGACGCCGCAGATGCATCTCCACCGGCACCCTGCCGCCTGTGACGGAGCAGCAGTTTGCAGGATTACCGCTGGAGATTGGCCGCACAGCTCTCACTACCTCTCTGCACATCACAGCTCATAGCCTGATCACCCATACTAATTAATAAGTCTACACTCTGCAGTTTTTGTCTTTGTAATTTTATTACAAAAAGGCATGCCTAAAGTCTAGCAGACATCTGCCCGTGTTGAAAATATAGATATGACAGTCTTGCTTGTTTTTTATTTTAATATCGAGTGTGGGGGATGTTTGCTTGATTGTTGTTCTCTAAGTCAGCGTCATTGTTCGGTCAACAGTTTTTGTGTAAGTGTCAAATCCTGTGGGGTGGTGTCACACAGTAAAACCTCCCATCTGCATGTGAAAACCTGTGAATAATCAGCTGAGCCAAAACCCGACATAAACCTGGCCCACCCAACCAACCCCGAGCACAGAATGATGCGCCCAGTCTCTGCCCTTTTCCGAATGGTAGCAATTTCAGTGTTGTCCAGTTGAAACCTTCCAGAACTTTATTCAGGCTTTAGTGGGGATTCAGTCGAGTCATAGTAACGTCTGAGTTCTTGTCAAGACCACGACAATCTACTTTCTGCGCCGCACCGCTGTCTTGATCTTGCGCCCTGCGATTGCTGGCTGTCCACCTGAAGTAGCAGTGAATGATTTTGTAGACCTGTGGGAACAGACACAGGTCCCGTTAGAGCATCACCACATACATACACAAAATCATAAATACTTTGTGGCTGAATCTACTGAACTGCACATCAAATATCTGCACTGCAGACAGCTGACTCTATTTCTGAATACATATTATACAATGCTCCCCTGGGGGAGCACTTAAAAAAACATTTAGGCAAAAATTCTCACTGCCAGTGCTACCTCTTAGCCTGCTAGGAGAATTCATACCTATGGTATGAATTTCAAAATACTGTTTCACCTTGTCCCCAGGTGCTCTCATTCACAAGATAAGTTGAGGTCATTGATGGTCTTACTCTTCCAAGATGTTTTGACGATGTGCCTATGGTATCAATTTAAAGGCCCTACGCCGCCTCGTTCTCAAATGATAGCGAATGACAGCTGCAACTAGTGACAGCATCTCACATACATCGATGGTGGTATCATTTTTCTATCTGATTTTTATTATTATTAACATACACTTATAGATAGCAGCCCAAATACCACTCTTTAAATATTTAATTTAGGATATTTAAGGCACGCTAACTTGGATTTAAGCTGTTTTGATGTGCATACACTGGGAAAACTTTACATATTAGCTGTAAACTGAGAAAAAGTAACATACCCAATATTGAAAGTCGGAGTTTGCCCAAAGTTGAATCCACCTCCAGGTGCACCTGATTGGGGAGCGATAGAGGGGTTGGCAGGGGGAGCAGGGGAGGCTGAAGATCCTGCTCCGAAAGTAAACACACCTGAGGTGTTGTTGGTTGTAGCTCCAAATGCACTGGTTCCTCCAAACTGAAAGCCTCCACCTGATTTAAAAAAATAAAAAAAATAAAAAAAGGTGTTACATTTTAATGTCACAACTAAAATCATGAGGCTCGAAAGGCAGCCAGCCACTCACCTGGTGCGGGATTAGCACCTTGCCCAAATACAGGGGTGGGGTTACTCTGCTGTCCAAAGGCCGGGGGAGGATTGGGTTTGGCCCCAAAAGCTGGGGTCTGGGAAGGTGTGGCTGGGAAAGGAGATCCGAAAGATGATCCAAATGAAGGAGTTTGGTTGTTCCCGAACCCAGAAGAGGGAGCCGAGCTGAAGACAAATGGGGTTGGACCTGCAGATGGAGCTGTGATTGAAAAAGAATAGAAAACATAAACACATATGTCGATCATAAACAAATTGATCACTTATAATACCTGATGTAGATACTTCATAGTTACAGACCTGATGAGGAGGCAGCAGAGGGCGCTGCTGCACCAAAATTGAAGGTGGGAGCAGCAGCGGCAGCAGGAGCAGGAGCAGCAGCAGCAGCAGCAGCATTGGTTGGAGAACCGAAGATGAAAGGCTGAGCTGGAGCAGGAGCAGAAGTGGAGTTGAGAGGAGCAGCTGACGGGGCAGGTGGCTGGCTGTCCTGACTCTGGCCAAAGATGAAGTTTTTAGCTGGGGGAGCGTCACTGGAGGCCGCAGCAGGCTGACCAAACATGAAAGTGTTTGGAGCTGCAGAGGGAGCTGGGGCCGCTGTGGAGGTGCTGCTGCTGCTGCCGCTGGCAGCACCAAACAGACTGGGAGTTGGGGTGGAGGACGATGAAGTGGTGGAGTTGGTGACGTTGGTTGGTTTACTTGCCAGGAAAGAAAAAGCTGGTTTTGGAGCAGCAGAAGCAGGTTCTGTGCAGGACGAGATCATGACAGAGATCAATAAAACAGCAATTAAACCCACAGTATCCTTTTAAGTCACCAACACACACGTCAAAGACAAACAGATGTTTCCAGGTTATCACACATCCTGAGGTCTTAGTAATACAATGAGGAAGTAGAATGTTTTTTTAAGAACAAAAGACCTACACAATCACAGGGTGAAAACGTGGATATTTTGGCATCTTCTTGTAAGAAAATGATTTAAATTTTATAAAATGAATCTACTGAACTGTAGCACGATACTGAATCCCAGAATTGCTTAAGCATTTTTATGATAGTAAAATAAACTGCATGAATGGTCTAGAAACCACAATCTAACCAAAATGCTGTAAGTGACAGAAATTTAAGTACCTGCAGCACTTTTTCCAAAAGCGAAGGTAGGCTTTGGGGCTTCTGAAGATGATGTTTCATTCTTGTCTGTTGACTTTCCAAAAGTGAAAGCAGGTGGAGGTTGCTCTGTTGGAGCATTGGGCTTGCTGAAGGAAAAGCCACCAGTGAAGGCCTGTGTAGTATCTGCATCCTTACTTGCAGCAGCAAAGAGGAAAGTAGACGGAGCAGAGGAGGTAACCGCTTCCTTCTTTTCCTCTGGCTTACCAAAGGTAAATGTAGGAGCAGCGGGTTCTTTAGCCGCCTGTGAGGACCCAA